TTTATTACCGGGACTAAGCCCGCTGTGTAATTGCGCCAGGACGCGTTCCGCTTTACAATGTATAAGGGGAACGATAAATCACTGGGCTGGGAAAGGAGACCGTGCCTTCCGGAAACGGCAGTTAATCAATCCGCGAGCGCGCTTTCCTTGCCCGGTGGATAAAGGATCCGCGGGGGGGGGGGGGGGGGGAAGAAAAAAAGAAAAACGTTCCCTTCGGTTATCCTCTTGCGGGACAGATTATCGCTGGCTGCTTCGAGCCTGTTGTACAATGATCGTGTTCAATAATCTTATTTGTTCCCTACTGTTGACACAGAAATATCTTATTGGCGTTGATATTATTGGTGGCCTGTTGACACCATTTGATGACAACCGTAGGACGTAGAAATATAGACTGCGTATCTTCCTGAAAACGGGTGTCCCAAGTTTCGAAAAAGGTGGATAGGTGTTCTCAGAGGACATGGCAGCTTTTTTTAAATCTAACAAGGGAAGGCACGGAAATGTCTCCCTTCGATTTTGATGAAACTTCGTATGTCTGTGGAGCAGTCAAAAATAAGGGATAGGTATTTCCTTTTATCGGCTGAGACGTGACTTTAAGGGGTGGAACCACCCCTTGAAGTTTCAATCCGAAATTTTTTTTGTTAGTTTTATAACTAATTTATTACCTAACTTTTTGCTTTAAACAAAAAATATACGTACTGGGCAGAAATCGGGACGTGATTAGAAATAGGGACATTGACCTTATTGGAGTGGTTGACTCAGCTATATTATAAAGAGATAGCAAGTCCTCCGGAAGTAACCCGTTTCTTTCTAAAGTTGGGACGCTGGTCCAGCTTTTAACGCGTAGTCTATATTTCTATATCCTATGGTAACAACGCGCGGTACTGAAAAGTGACTCACAAAAAAAGGGTACCAACTTCGGGTCTCCGACTTCAATAGAACTTCCAGGATATATCGTAGGCTCGGTCCTGTTAACATTTTGTTTGCTCACGGGCTGCACGTAAGTCCTTATAACTATAAAATTTATGGATTTTTCGTGAAAATAAAAATTGTTATATTTCGTTTAATTGTACAATAACGTATTCTGGAAGTTTCAAAGATTATTGGTTTAATAATTTCTTCACAAGAAATTCTCAAAAATTCGTTCATTGTTAGCTGTTTACAGCAGGCTCCTCCCTTAACAAGAATTTTGTAAATAATGTGGAATTTGATACAAAAATTTGCGAAGAGGAAGAATAGTTAATGTCCCGTTAAATGGCCAAGAGACCCGGAAGAAAACCGCCGCTAGAAATAAAACAGCTTCGACCCCATTAGGGGCGCGTTTTACTGGAAAGAGGGCAAACATTTGGATAACCGGCCCCGCAATGACATTCCCGCGACGCTGGACGGCGGAATCCCCCTCACCTCCCCTTGGCTACGTCTATTAACGGCCTGCTATTTGTATGTATAATGTAACGTTTTACGACGCTCATTTTCTACTTTTCCACCATCAACGGTGTCGTGTCCACGTTGCACTTTTCTTCTCGTCCTCGGTCTCTGCTCTTCTTTAGTCCTTTTCTTTTATCTTTCTTTTTTGTTTTTCGCACGAAATTACATTTTAATTTAACGTCTTTTCCATCCCGCATAACACGGACCTGACGGGGACACACCGCAATTTTTGTTACATTATTTTTCGAAATCCTTTGTGGTGGGACGCGTGAATAAGTCCCTGGCACCGTTTCGTCCTTTGTTCCTCCCCGCTTTAATTATTGTGCAATTACCGTTCCCTTCCGCTCTATACGCACCGTGTCTCCTTTCAGAATCATTCCATAAGGTGGAGTAAATTTTGACAGAATCGGGGGTAACTTCGTCCCATACAAATGATCGTCTTCGTATTTTATAGTTAAACGTTTTAATGTGACAGCTGCTTCTTGCGCGGATTTAACTACAATTCAATAATAAGTTAATTAATGTTTCGTTACCGCATGTAATAAGTTGATGTTATATTCAACCACAGAATGTGAGTTGGGTGTTTGGGGTCATATGATCTCTCTCTAGTAGGATAAAATGATCCCAGGAATCATTTTACCTATACGCTATATTATTGTTTTTTATTTTAGTTACAACAACGCCCCGTCGGTATGAAAGAAAAACAACGCGTCAAAGTTGTTTTTATTTAAATAAAATGTAATAACTAAAATGCTTTTTAATGTTCGTCGTATTTAGTATCAGTAGGTATAAAATGATCCTTAAGTATGCCTTCAAAGAAATGTGAATAGAAAATATAATTGATCACGTAGCTAAATTTTATTTAAGCCAATGATCAGATAGATAGACTAATTTACAAAAACTACTTTACTGTTCTTTAAATAATGGGATAAAGGGATCGTTTTAGACACCTTTGCCCTACCTACTCATCGAAAAGGACAGCCATCACCGAAATATCTTGCCCCTGATGGATGCACGGGGGAGGTCCACGTGGCGGATGATGGATCACGGCGACCCTCCCCCGGCCAGAAAACGTTCCCTCGTCGACCCCCGTTGATCTTCGCGGGAGCAACGCGATCCTATAGATGAAAATCTCGTGATTTCGTTGTCGCTGTCGGGACAGGCTGGGAGAGCGAACGCCGTTAAGTGTTTTTCGCCGCTTTTGCATAGCGAAACAGTCCCCCCTTGCAATCCCTCTTCATCCCCCGCTTCAGCCATTCGTTGTTATCGTCGGGAATGCTTTTTCCTTGGCCTCTTCGTGCTCGAGTAGTCTAGCGCCCGCCCGAAAATTGGGTATCTGAATCATTCAAAAGGGAATTCACTTTGTGGCTGGTGCTGAATATACATGGAGGTGTCGAGAATAATCACTTTGGACCAGGTACACAGGGTATTAAGGGAAAACACCGTTGTGACGACCGGGAAAATAAGCCTTTTCCATGAATTTCTTTTTCAGGAATAATTTACAGTTTACACGTAAAAATTTTATTACTGAGTTTTAGCACGATGTTATAAGAGATTTAAAAAAACAATTAAAGGGGAGCATGCAGGAATTCTTATGTACGGTTAATCTGTTTGACCTGAGAAAAAAACATAGATCACTGGCAGGATGTGTAACTTTGAAAGAACAGCCCTGAAATTAAATGTAAAACAATTTTTGATTAATTACATGAAATTAGTTTCTATTATACGCACGGCTTTAAAAAATATATTATCTTTGTAAACATGGCGCGCTTTCGAAAACAAAGTTTCGAAAACCCGCAAAGAAATGGACAGTTTTTCGAGTGCATTTCAAAAACTTTACTTTCGATCACAAAATCTATAGGTGCAACTGAAGGTAATCCTGTTTTAAGAATCTTGTTAGAATTTCAAGTCGATTGAAGAAAAATTGACAGACTTATAGTATCCGCCAGTTTGGAAAATATCGTTTCGAGACAAACGTGTTGGCAGTTTGACTTGAAATTATTTACGTACCTAATCAAAATGTACTGTATCTTTGTAAATTATTCGAATATCGATTTGAAATTTTCAGGTAGTTTTTTCGAAAAATTAAACTTCATGAAGAGACTCTCAGCTTTTGTTTTGGAAAAGACGTACTACTACGTCATTCGACATTAAAGTGTTAATAAATACATAAAACTTCAATTTAGTAAAAAACATTCTTTTGGTCACAGAGAACAGCATCCAAATAACGGTAATTTTTTTCAGGTCGTCACAGTGGAATGATCCATTAAATTAGCGGCACGCGTTGTAGAGTCGAGCAGAAAATCAGCTCGCTAGATAAATCTCCATTCTCGGTCGTTCCTCCGTCGTTCCAGGCTTTCGTTGTACACGTCCTCGGACCGACGAGCTTACAAGAGTTTCTTGTCGTGTCTTCGAGTCGAGGCGTTTTCGCCATCAGTTTCTTGCACACACCTGGGCGAAACCGCGTCGCGGTACGACGTGTTGTATCTGGGAAGCGGTGATTCACGCTGCGACGCCCTATAATTCCAATGTCGGTCTTCTCTTCTCCTAATGCTTTAACGAAGAAATGTATTCCCCGGCTGCGAACACGGGCACAGTGAACATTTCAGAAAGGAAACGACATTTTTGTGATAGTTTTTGTGGCAATTAAAGGCCATAACAGTTAACCTTTTCGATGTTTATGTCGAGTAAACCCGTCTTAAAAAAATGTCATTTTTTTATCTAATAACGACTATACTCGCTATTAAATAGAAAAAAATTGAATTTGCTATTTAAAGTAAAATTAAGGTAAATGAAAAAACATATTCGCAATTTTACACAGGCCACGCTTTGAGGCAGGCCAATCTCCCAGGCATCATCTTTCGAAAAACAGACCATAGTTACATAGATGAAAAATTTGCTTGAAAATTGCCCCTCCAAATGGGGAATACCCCTTAATTACTGTAACTATGTCTGTGCTCGTGAATTTTCAAAAGTAACCATTACAAAATTGATATTTTTGAATTGAAAGCAAGTAGTTCTTTTTGAAGAATAACACGAACAAAACTTGTAATCATTCTCTGTACCTACAATAATTCACCACCTCTTTCTTCTCTGCGAGCTCTACCCTTTGCCCCATTTCTAGATCCCCGTTTACGCCGCCGATTCCACCGACGGGAAACAACTTCTTCGTCTCTGTCCACGGTGAAATTATACGGTGAAAGTAATTCCGAGGAAACGACTGCAATTTTTTCGTAGCTGCGAGGCACGCGCAACAGAATCACAGATGGGCCCCGAGAATCGCGGGGTCAGATCTAAACGACGCGAATCGTATTCAGACAGCACCGGGGACGGAAAATCGGGGAGAAAAACCGTGAAATTACAATTCGGTTCGCTTTGCTCCCGCCATTGTGTTCCGTTTCGCGGTCCAACACGCGCGTGGTGTTCTTTCCTTTATTCCCGTAATCCAGATTGTGGATCGTGTAAACGCGTTTTATCCACGAAATAGTCGCCACCCCCCCTCCCGTGGCTTTCTTCAATTCTTCGAATTCGATTCTTGGAATATACTAAGAGTATTATGTTTCCTTTTGTTACAGAATCTGTAAAAGGACGAAGAGAGGGGGAACAACGATATTACGTGAGTGTGTTTTAATTGATTATTTCGAGATTATCACTGTAGAGATGGCGTAAACTGCTACTTGTGAATAACTAATGATTCGATCTTGTTCGTTCCTAATCACGGTGATTTATCACAGTGATTCGTGATTTATCGTGACCGTTTTTGATTTAGATTACGATTATAAGTGTATTCTTCGCCCATGAAAACTTACGGTGCAGACGCAATTAATATTATATGCCCAATATGTGAAAAAAGACAGCAAAAATAAGTTTTGACAAGATGAAACCTGGATCTCATATTAGGCGACCAGTTTTCGAATTCATGTTTTCGCATACTTTTCATTTTTATTTCATTATGATGGAACTCTATCTGTTTTGTTATAATTTCTAAACATCTTACATTTGAAACGTGTATCGTATTTCAACGAAACTATTTTTAATCGGGAATTATGCGAGCTTAAAAAAAGGTCTCATATTCGGCTACTTTACGCGTGGGAAACTGAAAGGGGTGCGTCAGTCGGCAGTGAACGGGAAATCTCGTGCACGCCCAAGGTATACATATACATGGTACACGTGTAACCGTCGCGGCAGGTAGAAAATGACGTACGCCCCCTGGATCATAAGCGCGTGCCAAACGGGTTGGAAATCCTCTTACGCTGGCAGCATTCGAAAGCTTTCAGCATTTCGGACGGAAGTATCTCTCGTGGTAAACAAATGGCCCCGCTGGTGCGTGGAGAATCTGTGTTCGGTTCGGTCGTATAACCGTGATACGGGATGAACGGGAATATGGAATTCGGTTGTTTCTGTTCAATATTTTGTCCGTGGCTCTAACAGGTGAAACTATTCTAACATTACTAGGGTAAATGTCCCGATTACTGCCAGTATTCGTGATAGTGCCACTTTATTTATTTCATTTAATAATAACGAATTGTGTACAAAGAAAATGTCATTATTAAATTGGTACTTTGATTTACATAAAAACAAGGCACTTGTATATACCTGGTATTTAAAAATTAATGTTGAAAAATGAAAGTACAATTTGAGCGTTAAAAACACGACTACGTAAGAAGGAAGTGATGGAGAAATCATAGTGAAGAAGGATATGCAATTTTACTATTCAACCTGCATCTATTGTACCAAATGAATTGTTACAGTACGTAAGGATTAGTTTAATTTTTGAGGTGACAGTTATAGGAACAGAGTATACTCGTCATTAAACAAAAAAAATTGCGTTTGCTATTTAAAGTAAAATGTAGGTGAAACAAAAAACATATTCGTAATTTTCATATATTTTAAAATATTTTAGCATAAAAAAAGAAAACATACAAAAAAAGAAAGAATTATGCGCAATAGTATACAGGGACCTTGCGATTATTGTCCTGAACTCGGGGTCGCGCCTGGACAACAAGAGTAATTTTGTCATTTTATTCCAAATGTATCTCTGAACTATTGAATGGATTTAAGACAAGTGTCTGTGTGTAGAAATGGTGAACTTTGCATTAATCTCCCTATGCGATGGACTTTGCACTGTTTCGTTCGGAACAAAATATGAACATAATATCATTTTTAGACTATTATATTAAAAACTAGACAACTTAGAACGATATAAAGTGTTTCACGTATTCACAATTACAAGAAATGTACAAAATCCACAGTTTAGTCCATGGATTCAAAATATTTCCTTTCCCGTGGCTGCGGGCAAACGAAACAGAACCCGGCGAAACGACCTGTTAATTTGTTGTTACTCGACCGAGAACGATCGGGGACCGGTGCGCATGCATCGTCGAGGCAGCGATCTAAATGCCACTGGAAACCGGTTCCACACGGTGTACACGAGTTCGGGACGCGCGGCGTTGTTCGATTTACTTATGTGTGTACGTTCCGCTGTCGACACGCCGCGCCGCTACGAAGGTGACACGCATTAATTGCGCTAAACCTATGGCGAGACCAGGCTCTCTCCACGCGTGTCGCTTATGTTCGTGCATAGACTAGTATGTATACAGTGTGTCGCAACATAGCTTCGACTTCCGAAAATGAGGGGTTCCTGGGATAATTTGAAACAACTTTTTCCTTAGCGAAAATGTTATCCGAGGCTTTGTTAACGAGATATTAACGAAAAACTCCAGACCAATCAGAGCGCGAGTCTGCCGGCCGAGCTTCAGGTAAAATTGAAATTGTAAATTTGATAAAAGTAAAATTGATTTCAAGATTTAACCTGGACAAACAGAGAAACTAATCTAAAACAAAACCGTGTAATAAAAATCTAAAGAAACGATCCTTGGTCGATTTGACATTTGTGTTACAATTGTTACATTCGTTGCGTGTTACGTTTGTCTCGAGTTTCCCTTACTAACACAAAATCCGCGTGGATCACCGACGTTAACCCTCGGGGCCACGATCTCTGCCGCGATCGCAAGAAATATCCGCGCCTCGGACTTCCTGGTTTGCACCTGACCGTGGCCGGTCGCTAATTAAGAAAATCGTTTCCCTGTTGCGGAAGGTCCGTTGCTGTTCTCCTGTCGCGGCTGAATAAAGCCCGGATTGCCCCGTGAACGCGTTCGCGGAATCCTGATCGCGAATCGCCGATAACGTCACTCGGATTAATCGCTGGTCCGTGTGTATCTCGAGAACTTCTCCGTGGAACGCGTTGCTCGTGTTCGATTAACGGTAGAAAGTGGGAAAAGCTTAACCTTCTCTCTGCGAAAAAAATATATATTAACGTTAACAGTCGTACAGCGGACGGTCAGACAAGTCTGGGTTACTTTTGACTTACACTGAATTTGCTTACTAAGGCATTCTTGAATAAACTGTAGATTTTATTATCTTTGCATTAAATCACAAGTACAGATTCTTCTATTTCTGTTTGGCCGGAGTTTTTTTGTTAATATCTCGTTAACAAAGTCTCGGATAATATTTTTGCTAAAGAAAAACTTGTTCCAAATTATCTCACGAGTGACCCGTTTCAAGAACCTGCATTATTTTTGTTACACCCTGTATACCCGTGTGCGAACATCCAACAGGTGATTTAGAAACAGCCTGGTATCATCGTTCGCATCCCGTTTGGAAAACAGCCGGTTCCTCATCCTCACCGTCATAAAAATCCTCTGGCAGGATTGAGACTCTGTGGTTACTGCCCCGGAGGATTCTCATTCCGTCGTAACGCGATCCGGCGACACCGTCTCCCGTGTCTCGCCTCTCGTATATACAAGGTGGACCACGAAACGTTGATCAGCATAGATTATTCTACTGCTAGCTGTTCGGTCGAACAATTTTTTGATTGGGATAACATGATTCAAGGAGAGCTTTAAGATGATTGTACCAAATTTTTTGTTAATCCTTTTCTTCCCAGAGTTTTCAAGGTCACCTTCAGTTCTTTTTTTTATAGATAAACCTATAATTTTTATACGCCCGTCTTTTAACGGACACTGAGACAAACTCAGCAAGCATCATAACAAATAATTTTTCTTCTTCTGAACCAAAGAAACATTAAGAAACTATCGTTTGTCTTAATTAAAACGACTGCTTAGTTCTATTTATGGCATCTTCACCGATGGTTAGGCATGGCAAAATTTTTCCGATCGAACAGCTAACAGTAGAATAATCTAAATTTAAGCTGATCACATTTCGTGGTCCACCTTGTATACAGGGTGTCTCACGGTCGGGTAATGTAATCGAGCAGATGGTTATTTATTTATTTATTGTTATATGTATGTATATAAATGGTTATTTATTTATTTTAATCCATACATATATATGTACATGCATGAAAATAAATAACCATCTGCCCGGTTGTACCAGTCGACCTTGAGACACCCTGTATATACAGACAAACACATCCACTCGTGGCACGTTGGATGCACTTCTCGCCAAAGAAGGCGTGAAAGTGACACCTGTGCGCGCGCGAGAGTGTTCCATCGACCCACGCCTGCCTCTGTGTGTCCCTCCGCACGTGTGACAGTGGTGAACGTTCCGGGAGAACAAGAATCGTTAATAAATTAGCATGATCGTCGTGATACGTTCCACGCGCCAATGAACCCGGAGTCGAATTCGCGTCGATTCAGACGTGAACGGAAAATTACGAGCTTGTGTTGCCTCTCTTTTTCCCTCACGAAGAAAATTCAGTTGGAAAAAGAAAAAACACATCGCTGTTCGTTAACGACAACATGGAAAAAGAAAATTGCTCGTTCAGAGCTGTTCACTTCGATTGTTCGACGATGATCTGTAACTCTGTAACGCCCAAACCCTTAAATCTATACTACAGTTTTATTTTTTTTATTTTTCGTTATTAAATGTTTGTAATTGTATATTTATAGTTACTTACATTTATTTTATGCTAGTATTTAGAAATAACGTGCGGATTTCGACTCATTCATCGATAATCTCTAGAGTAAATCAGTCTTAACTGTAATTATACATTTATTTTTTTTAATACATTATTTAAACAAATGAACAATTCACGATTTTTGTTAATCCTTTTATTCACAAAGTATTTAAAAATGACCATAAAAACAGTTTCTTGACCTAGACCAGCCTTCAGTTCCCTGACATGCATTTTTCGTTTCCATGACTGATATTCCTGTAAACGCATAAAAATATGATACTTGATCCTTCTGCTATACAGAGTGTTAAAACCATTCAATATTTATATAGTACATATAACACACTGTACAGAGTAAAAAAGCCTTACTAAATAGAGGTCGACAAGTCAAGTTTCTGAATTATAGACATTTTTGTATGTCAAAATCATGATTACTGTAGCAGGAGAAAGTAAGGGAACACCTTTTCCGCTATGCGTTTCTGAAATTATTCGTTCGTTAACGATCAAACAAAGTTGCGAACCCCTTGCTATGTTAAACCCTTGATGGCTTCCGTTTTTGTAATTTCGTTGAAATCAACGTTTTACATGGATTCCTCGTAACAGCAGAAAATGTTATTTCGGTAGATTGGAAAGCCCCCCCCCCCTCCTCCTCCTCCTCCAAGGGTATCCCGCCTGCGGTGGGCTGGCAAACTTAATGAAAG